TGAATAAACAGTTCTGCAGCCTGACAGCACGTACCTGCAGCAGGAGCGAACCCGCAGCAGGAGCAAACTGCCTTCCCCAGCCAGTAATTAGCCCCAAACACGCTCCCTTCCACTCCTTGCCTAATTGCTGGGGCTTTCAGGGTGCGTTGGCTCTGTGGCGTGCCCTGGGGGCAGCAGGTTTGTGTCTTCAAACACGGCTCGGGCTCCTCGCAGCCTTTAAAGCATCAGAAAGTTGTGTTGTTCCTGATCCAGGGAGGCGAGCGCCAGCCTTGCTCTGCCTCTCCTTCTGCTGCCCTTTGCCTTCTTCCCAAGGAAGCCCCAGGACGTGCACGAGTCCAAAGGCTCCCGCGTGAATCCTAGAGCTGCTGCGGAGCTGAGCGCTGCGCTTTGGCTGAGCTCCCCTCTGGGTGCTCCTGCACAGCATTTCCCTGCTCCCTGGGCAGCCCCACTTCTGCCCTCCCCGTCCTTGGGGTCCCAGGGGGCAGCAGCTCACCCCACACCGCCCTCTGTTTGCTCTCAGCTGACTTATCTGGGGCAATCAGGCTCGCCTTCCTGTTTAGCTTTCTTACAGCGCGCTGTTAAACTAAATCAACAGACTTGTACAGTCAGCATCTTGTTAACCAGGGCATTCTCAGGCCCTGTGTAATTAGCCAGCCGTGATGGGTGTTTCTGGAAGCGGGGCGCTCAGTCCCACGCTGGGTTTCCCCTCGAGAAAACACTGCTTCTCATTGCCACCCTGCTTCCAACGGGCACCACAAGGAGCCGAGCTGCTGCCGCGCAGTGAACGCAGCAGGATCAGCCAGCGCAGAGCTAATGCCACGCCATGCTATTTTATTTCCTAGCAAGCTCAAAATGGGGCAAAAGCCTGCCTGGGTTTTCCACAGCAGCTCACGGGGTGGGCAGTGAGGGACCCCCCGGGCGTTTTCCCTCGGGATGCTGCCGCTCTGGTCCTGGGGGAGGAGCAGGACCCCCTGGGATGGGGCCAGAGAAACCCGCAGGGCTGGAGGCGCCCACAGGGCAGCTCACTGTGCCAGGCTGCTCTCGAGGGTGTGAAGCTGCTGCTGGCCCACACCGGCTGCTGCGTGGGAAGGAGCAGCACAAACAGAACAGGAAAAATGCTGAGGCTGCAGGGAAGGCTGGGGTCGCCTGACCTGGAGCTGGGGAGCAGATGGGGAATGGTGTGCAGCTCCTTATTGCTGAGCGAGTGCACAGCAGCACAGCAGCACAGCAGCACAGCACACACGGGGCACGGCCCAGCGCTGGCTCAGCAGCCTCCTGGTGCAGCCCTCGTGGCCCTCAGAGGGGATATTTTTGGGTTTAATGCTTGGCAGCACGGCCGGCCCCTGCCTGGTGTGTGCCCACAGCTCCAGCGTGCTCCAATTCGTGTCCAGGGCTTTGGAAAGGGGGAAGGAGAGGCAGCCCCTCCCTCCAAAATAAGGCAAACCCAAATGCTTCTAGTGTGGGGTCACGCAGGGCTGCAGCCTCTCTCTGTGTTTCCTTCCTTGCTTCCATCCTGCAGATTTAGGGCTGGGAACGAAGGGATCTCCAGCATGGGGAGGATTGGGATCCCAGCTGCTCATGGGGCAGTTTGGGGGCAGAAGAGGACTTTGGACACCCACAGCTCCAGGTGTTCATCATTGGGGTAGAGCTTGGGAGTGCCCCGGGCTGCATCCAGCCCCACAGAGCCCTCTAATTGCTCAGCCCGTTAATTACATCGCATCCCAAGCAGTCGCCGCTGCTCCCAGCAGAGCTGAACCACGTCAGGATTTGATCCCCAAATTGCCCCCTCGCCACCGGGGCTGACAGACGCAGGGACTCCCACCTCCAAACCCCACACCCGAAACGGCGGGGCTGCAGGCAGACCCCAAAGCGCCGTGAAAGGAGCGGGGCGCCGGAGCCGCTGCCCGCTCTGCATTTCACCCTTCCCGAAGCCGGCAGGGCGCCAACGAGCCGGGCCGCCCGCCGCTAATTGGCAGAGCCCGGAGGAGCGGGAGGAGGAGGCTGTTACCAGGCAAAGCCGGAGTTGTTTGTGCAGCGAGAGCTGTTTGCTGGACTTTGCCGTGTGCGAGCTGTCAAGGAGCACCAGATTGTTATCAGCGCTTCTGTCTGCGGCTGCCGGGGGGCCGTCGCTCCCATTATTTTTATTATGCCCTATTATTTTGTTCTTCTTATTTAATTAGCTCGCTATTATTCCGGCTCATCCCGCAGCTCCTCGCCGCATCCCAGGCGGTTCCGCGCCCTCCTCGTCCGGTGGGGGCTGGGAGGGGAAGGGGCTGCGAGAGGAGCAAAACAAACTACAGCTCCCAGCGTGCCCCGCGCGCCTATCGCTGATTGGCTGGCGGGCAGGCGTCGGTCACACCCCCGCGACGCCATTGGTGAAGACGACGGTAGGGGGCGTGACCGGCGCCCATTCACACCCTCTATGAAAGAGCGCTCCGGGTCCCACGGCCCTAAGAAGCGCCGCGGCCCCAAAAAGCGCCACGATCCCGAAAGCGGCCCCGAAACGCGGCGTTGTGGTTATGAGCGCTCCGTAGCCGCTCTCACGCCGTCCCCGTCGCGGTGTCATGCTGGTGGCCGGTTCGCAATGCTGCCCTCCGGGGCTGGAGGAGCGTTTGGGATGCGGGGCTCTGCGGGGCGAGGAGGTAAGAAAGGAGCACCGCTGCCCCACTGCCCGACCGCGGGGCCGTGCGGAGGTTTGGGGTTTGGGTTGTTGTCGTTCCATCCTGCCCCCCCACCCCCCCACGGTGCGTCTCTTTGCGTCGCCCCAGTGCCGGGCAGTGCGCGGGTGCCCCGCTGTGCCGGGGCTGCATGGGGTGGGAGGGCGGTGCGACCCTGAGCGGAGTCCCATAGCGCTCAATCCCCATCCCAGCGGGTCTGGGTCGCCATACAGGTGTAGGGCAGCCGCCCCCCAGGTCCCATGTGAGGCTTGGGGCCGCTCCAAGGGCTGGGAAAGGTCCCACAGAACTCAGGGCTGTTTGCACTGGGAGTTCTGGGGTGTCCCTCCTGCTGCATCTCCCCGATTTGGGACTTGCCTCTGTCTGTAGGCAGGGGCAGCAATCGGTGGGGCTGCGCTGAGCCCCCAACCCAGAGATGTGGGATGGTTCTCAGAGGGTCTCTGCAGGGTGTTTGTTTAACCTCTCCTTATCACGAGCGATTTTCCAACACCTGACCAAGCCCTGGCAGCAGCACAGGGCAATGCTTGGCACTGCTCTGGGGGCATTCCATCCTTCCCCTGGTGCTCCATTTGGGGCTGAGCCTCCCCTGCCCCCCCCAGCCCGGCTGTGCACTTCAGGGCTGCAGCATCACCACCGTGCCTCAGTTTCCCCACCTGCAGAACGCAGTGCTGCCCCACAGCAGCACAGCAGGGGTTAAGCTCAGGAATTGCTTCACGCAGCAAAACATTACAGCAATGATTAAAATGCACCTCCAAAGGTCACCCTGAGCTGTCACAGCAGGGAGAGCTCCGCCGAGTCCCGGCTGGTTTTGGGGGCTGCAGCTTTGCTTTATGGGGTTTCTCCGTTGCTCGGCGGCCCGCTGAGCTGCTCCTTCACCACCGGTTTGGCTGCTGTGAGTCAGAGCAGTGCTCAGCGCTAATGGCACGAGCCTGGCCCTGCTGTCACCTTGCTGTCACCCTGCTGTCACCCCCTGTTGCTTCCGCCGTGACTCAGGGCAGGAGTGCCCCGTGCGCTCAGGGCCGTGGGAATGTGGGTGCCCACGAGGCGCCCGTGGGGCCGTGCTGCCCATCACGCTGGGAGCGCGTGGCTGCACTGACAGCTGCCACCTGGCCGCCTCGTGTCACCCCCCCAAATCCCATCCCGTCATCCCATTTGGGATGGGCGCTGTGCCCCCCGCCTCCCCGCAGTGCTGTGGGGACAGCTGGCAGAGCAGCGCTGCGCGCGGGTGCTGGCGCTGCTGGAGAGCCCTCTGCCATGCCGTGTCCTGCAGGTGAACGTGCTGCTGCGTGGGGCAGAGCTTTGTGCCAATGGGCTGAAGGAGCACAGCTGTGCTTTTGGGGTGGTTTTGGAGAGCGCTGCTGGGAGAGGCGCTCGCTCCGATCGATGCTGCAGGGATCCCATTCAAGGCAGGGGATGTGGGGTCTCTGCGTGGGCTGCGTCCCGCCTTTCCCGGCCCCACAAGGTGTGGATATCTGCTGTGTGAGGGATCCCACTGCATCCCTCTGGTTGCAGGAGTCCCCACAGAGGTGGTGGAGCACAGCCTTGACCCTATGGCTGGTCCTGGTGTCCCACTGCTGCTCCACATCCCACAGACAGAGGGGCTGGGAGAAATGGGAGCGTGCGCCGGGGGGTTGCTGGGGGTGCTCCCTTAATGCAGCAGCAGTGCTGTGCATGGCTTCCACCGGTGCAGATGGGGGCTGTGGGGGCAGCCCAGCAGTGCGGGGGTGCATGGGGGGATCAGGCTCTGCTGCCTCCCTGTGTTCCAGCACTGTGAACCCACAGGAGGGTGTGAGGCTCCCAGTCCCACAGTGCAGGCAGGCATGGATGTGGGGTGGTGTAACACAGCCAGCACCCCCGCAGCCCCCCCTCGGGCTCTGAATTTTGCTTTTCCCCATTGAGGCACACGGCTGTGCAGGCTGCTGCTCTTCCTGGCCCCGTCCTGCTGTCACACCTCCCAGCAACGCCCGGCTGTGATTTCATCAGCCTGATGCAACACCCGTCGGTGATGGCCGTGGCTGGGGGGAGATCTGACCCTGAGTCACCCATCCGGTGACGGCCCCACATCACCCCACCCCCCCGTCCCAGCACTGCCAGGGCTGGCTGACACCGCTGCTCTTTCCTCCCTGTAGGACAGAGGGATCCCGGTGCCCCCGCAGCTGGGGAGGGGGCCCAGCGCCTTCATCCCTGCAGAGGAGGTAAGAAGGGAAAGGGCATCGCTGCCAGCATCGACGGGGGGTGCATCCCATATGGGTGAAGGGGACGCGGCCCTATTGGGGTGGGGGCTCTTAGTGGTGGTACCCGGCTTGGAGAGGGGTGGGATCTGGGATGGAGTGTCGCTGCTTGCCCAGCCGCTGCTCCGCTGTGTAGCACTGGGGAGTGCTGTGCACTGTGCCCTCCTCCCACCCCAAAGCTGGGGATCCCTACAGCCCTATCGCAGCACTGGGTGCCGGCACACAGATGGTTCCTCCTCGGGCAGAGATAGGGCTGTGCTTTCGTCACCGTGCCGGCGGGGGGTGGTGAGCGTCGGCTCCTCCCCACCGCATAAACAACCCGGTGCTGAGCAGGCTGTGTGGGGCTGCCATGGGGTCCCCCGAACCCGGCTCACCCCATGGGGATGGGGGGTCAGGCGGTGGGAACGGCCGGAGGTGTCCTTTCAGGGCAGCAGGAGGGCGGCTGGGCGCAGCCTTTGGGGTGAGCAGCCCTAAATGGGGGCTGGGGGGGCATCCTTTGGGGGTGAGAGACCCTAAATGGGGTTGGGGGGCATCTTTTGGGGGTGAGTATCTGTAAATGGGGGCGGGGGAGGGCATCCTTTGGGGGAAACAGCCTTAAATGGGGGCTGTGGAGGGATCCTTTGGGGTGAGTGGCCCTATATAAGGACTGGGGGGCATCTTTTGGGGGGAGTGTCCCTAAATGGGGGATGGGGGAGGAACGTTCTTTGGGGGAAGCAGCCCTAAATAGGGCCTGTGGGATGCAGATCCTGCAGGAGGGCATTGAGAGCAGTCGGCGGCAGCTGCTGATCGAAGCCTTCGTCTCTGCCGGCCGCGTGGACAACATCACGATGGTGATGGGGCTGCACCCCCAGTACCTGAGCAGCTTCTGGAAGACTCAGTACCTCCTGCTGCGCATGGACGGACCCCTCCCCTACCACAAACGTCACTACATCGCCATCATGGTGAGCGTGGGACCCCCGGCTGTGGGCCGTGCCATCCCTCAGAAGCCGCTTTGGGGTCGCTTTTGGGGTTCCCAGCTTCCTCTACAGCCAGAGGGCTGATGTTGGGATGCAGGGCTCCAACCCCCCAGGTCTGAGCTTTGTCCCCAGGGAAACCCCTCTGGGTGGTGGTGGGGTCCCTGTGTGGCTTCTCCAAAGGCTGGCGTTGGGGTTGGTGCTGATCGTCCGGCCGTCCCTGCAGGCAGCAGCCCGGCACCAGTGCACCTACCTGGTGGGGCTGCACATGGGGGAGTTCCTGCAGGCGGGGGGCAACCCGGCGTGGCTGCAGGGGCTGCACTGCGCCCCCCAGAAGCTCAGGAACCTGAACGAGATCAACAAGCTGCTGGCACATCGACCCTGGCTCATCACCAAGGAGCACATCGAGGTGGGAGACCCCAACATGCAGTCGGGGGGGGGGGGAATGGGGGGCCCGGGGGGCCACGTTGCTCCTTGGGTTTAACCCAAAAGGGGCCGTAAGTCGGGTGGGTGGGTCCGAAGGGGCGGTGGATGGGAACACGTGGTGTATGCGTCCCAAATTCCATCCCACCTCTGCCGTGGGATGTGGGGGCACAGAGCCTGAGCCCCGTTGTCTCCCCCATCTCCCCCCACAGGCGCTGCTGAAGACAGGGGAGCACAGCTGGTCGCTGGCAGAGCTGGTGCAGGCGCTGGTGCTGCTCACCCATTACCACTCTCTTGCCTCCTTCGTCTTCGGCTGCGGCATCAACCCCGAGGCAGGGCAGGATGGGGGGCACGGCTGCAGACCCCCCTCACCCCACAGCGACAGCAGCCCCACAGCTGAGGACAGCACGGGGTGCTCGGGGGTAAGAGATGGGGGGGAATTACCACGATCTGGGGTGGGTCCTGCTGGGGTCTCCCCCATAAGCCCTGAGGGATGGGGTGTGGGTTGGCCCCTTGTATGAAGGCTTGGGGGGGGGGGGCACAGTGTTTGCAGCCCCCCATTGGCACCGAGCCCCTCTTCTTTCCCCAGGGCAGGGATGCCGTGCGTGAGGTGGAGGCGCTGATGGAGAGGATGCAGCTGCTGCGGGACAGCCAGAGGGAGGAGGAGGGCGTCACGCAGGAGGAGATGGCCACGCGCTTCGAGATGGAGAAGACGGAGAGTTTGCTGGTGGCCCCATCGGGTAGGAGGGGGTCCCTGCAGGGGACTTTGGCCCCGTTGCTGGGCTGCGGGCGGCCCCACGCCGGTGCTCACAGCTGCACCTTGCAGATGTCACGGAGCATGCCCTGCAGTCTGGTGTGCTGTGCTTCGTGGAGGACCCCGAGTTTGGCTACAAGGATTTCACGCGGCGCGGCGAGCAGGCGCCCCCCACCTTCCGTGCTCAGGTGGGTCCCGCTCCCCCCAAAGATGGGGCATTGCTGAGGGCTGGGACCGGGCTGGAGCCAAAGCAGCAGCGCTGGTAACAGAGAGGTGGAAGGGTGACCGTCTGCCCCGCGCTCTCTCCCTTCAGGATTACACCTGGGAGGACCACGGCTTCTCCCTCATCAACCGGCTGTACCCCGACGTGGGGCAGCTGCTGGACGAGAAGTTCCAGGTCGTTTACAACCTGACCTACAACACCATCGCCATGCACTGCGGCGTCGACACCTCCATGCTGCGCCGCGCCATCTGGAATTACGTGCACTGCGTCTTCGGCATCCGGTGGGTCCCTCCTCTGCTCCCCAAACCCTGCAGCAGCCCCTGGGTTCAGCTGAAGGGATGTGGGTCTGGAAATGGGTGCCCTGATGGGTAGGGGCTGCGGCACAGGGCTGACGTCCCCCTCCCTTCTCCGTCGCCCCCAGCTATGATGACTATGACTACGGAGAGGTGAACCAGCTGCTGGAGCGCAGCCTGAAGGTGTACATCAAAACAGTGGCTTGCTACCCTGAAAAGACCACCAAGAGGATGTATGCACAGTTCTGGAGGCACTTCAAGCACTCAGAAAAGGTGCTGCTCCCCTCCACCCTCCCTCCCCCGCCCCTCATTTCCCCCTCTTTTGGGGCTCTGGGGCTGAGCCCCCCCATGTGCTGACCCCGCTGTCCTGCTGTAGGTCCACGTCAACCTGCTGTTGCTGGAGGCCCGGCTGCAGGCTGCCCTGCTGTATGCCCTGCGTGCTGTCACACGCTACATGACCTGACAGCTCCCCAATTCCCCCCCCCCAGTCCTCCTCCTTCTGCTTGGGGGGGGGGGGGGGGGGGGGGGGGGGGGGGGGACGCTGGGGGGAGTGTGTTGGGATGTTGCCTCCTGCCTTATGGATGTAGAGATAAGGGGGGGAATGGGGTATTTGTGCCCCTTATGCTGGGATAGGGGGGGTCTCTGAGTGGGTCCCCCCACCCCCCCGTGTCCTGGTGGGGTGGGTGGAAGTGGGGCTGCTGTGTGCCTTGTTTGGGGGGAGCCCCGTGGAGCTGAGCCCCTTTTCCTGGAGCGACTTTAGCAATGATGCTGCTGTGCCCCCCTCCCGGCCCCATCCTGACCCTCAGGTATGTCCCCCTGCACGTGGACTGGAGGGGGCTGAAGGCACAGAGGTGTCATGTTGGCGTCCCCCCCCCTCATCCCAGGGTTCAGCCTGAGCCCCCTGCAATTGGGGACTGGAAGTGCCTTAAACCTGGGCCCTGGGTAGGGGTTGGGGTGGGGGCTGCAGCACCTGCAGTGCCTTTTTTCACCCCCTGCCTGCTCTGTGCCACTGCAATGGGGAACTGGGGGGGTGTCTGTGTTGCATCCACCCATCCTGTGCCATCTCTCCCTGCCTGCTGTTGGGGTGAGGCTTCGCTCCCTCCTTCTGCATCTCCATACCCCCATTGCCCACCTCCCCCTGAGCACCCCATAGCAGTTGGGGCCCATTGGGTGCCCCCTCGCCCCAGTGCAAAACTCCCCCTATGCCATGCATGGTGCTCTTGGCTCTGCTGCAGCGCTGCTCCCTCAGCTCTGCTCTCCTGCCTGTATTGAGGACAAGGGGGGTTGCTGCCCCCCCCCCCACCCCACATCCTTTTGGGGCAGTGGGGCTCAGTGCCAAGAGAAGGGCAGCACTTCTCCTTTCCCTGCCCATCACTCCAAAGCATGTCAATGTGGGGGGGGGGGGGGGGG